TGGAATCAGGAGAGACTTGGGTTGAATCTTGTCTCCAATATATATATCAGCTAGATGTGTGACCATGAGCAAATATCACTCACTGTAAAATGAGATTACCTGTATAGTACTTACTCATAGGGTTGGTTATGAGGATCAAATAATCTAATGTATATAAAATACCTTATTAAGACTAGATAAATATCAGCACTTTTCTCCCTTTGTTTACAGAAGGATGTCCTTAGTTATTAGAATCCTAGCAAAGTAGAGATGGGGGGGGCTCCTGGCACAAGGAGAAACAACACTTGCATTGTGCCAAAAAAATGGTTACATACTTAACTGGTGTTCAAGACAACCATAAAATCATAGTTTCATATACATAACCAATTCACTGGAGTGCACAAAGCAATAGAGGGTGCTTGAGAATTATTGCAATTCATATCAATATTATATCATGCTGAAAATGTCATCTAACTTTATTTTGCCAAGAATACAACAAACATCTGTTAAACACAAGAATCAGACTTAAGCCATCAATTAACGAAACTTAATGAACTTAATGAATGTTTTGATTCAATAGTTGAAGAATGAAAGTCTGCTGAATTGCAATATGGTTGGTCATAAGCCACCTGGAATACTATGTCCCCAAACTGTGATTAGAGGTATGTTTCTGATGAATAAATTATAATTTCTCTGTTCCTCAGTTTCCTAATATGTAAAATGAGAGGACTGGAATAAACTTCTTAAATTCCTTATGTCTTTAAATCTGTAGGCAGTGACATCCTGTTGAAATCAGGCATGTCTAAATTCAATATCATTAAATGTGTGAACAAATTTCAAAATTATGTTAATATGTTGTCATAAGATAATTTTTTTCATTGAAGATCATGAGAATTCCCTTGACTTTGTGAACCATAATCACCTTTTTTTTTAAGCATACATGGTATCAGTTTGTTTTTTTAAGAGATCTATTTAATTCTGACTACTGAATTGCTTCCCCAATGCATATGCTCAAATGTGATAAGTATTACGTAATTATATATAATTATATAATTTATTTCAGAAAGAGATTGAGTAGCAAACAGTGATATTTCAAGAAACTACAGGATAATCTAAGTGTAGACTGAGAAAATGAGTAAAGACCAAAGGAGCAAGGTCAGAAGAACCCAGGATTTAGAATAGATTGGATAAGAATTATAAGAAAATGTACAGTTTGGAGAAAAATCTCTGCATTAAACATCTCTGATAAAAGTCTAATACCTTATCTATAGAATCTATTGAGAACTGAAACAAATTCATTAAGAGTCATTTCCAACAGACAAGTGGTCAAAGTATATGAGCAGTTTTCAAAAGGAGAAATGTACCCTTCTACCAACAAGCACCTGAAAAACTTCTGAATCATGAATAATGAAAAATGAAATTTTAAGAAAGTTTGAGTACCACCACCTCACACTCATCAAATTAACAATAATAGATCTGAAAAATTCAGTATTAGAGCAATTCTGGGAAGAATCACAGTAACTGAAACTAGATGAGTTGTGAATCAGTCCAACTATTCTGGAAAACAATTTGGACTTATATAGGAAAAGTACAAAATTGTTCATATTAACTGACATAGAGATCCTAGTAGGATTATGTCTCAGGTTAATGGCAGCGAGGTAATGCTCATTTGTATACAAATATTTATAACGATATTATTTGTAAACACAAATATGTGCCCAATTTGCCAGGAGGGGGGAGGAAGAAGCCAAGAGATGAACAACTGTAATTTGTGAATGTAATGGAATTTGTCTTATAGAATAATGATTATGAAAATTCAAAGAAACATAGGCAGATTTTTATGAAGTGAAACAGAATAAAGAAAACAGAGTTAAAAGAACAATGCACATAATGACTACAACAAAGTAAATAATGACTAATCCTAAATGACAACCAAAGTCCAGGCAAATAAAACCACCTAGGTTGGTACTATACTATCAAAATTAAAGTACACATCCTTCCTTCCTGTTAATCAGAAAAACTATGGGATTGTACTATCAATAGCAATCAAGTTATCAGATAGTTCTGTTGCTTATTTTGGTGTAAATTACAAAGTGATTTTCCAAGAACTCAGGTCTAACCCTACTACACAAACTCTAGAAACAATCCATGTCCTCTAAGATCAAACATAAACTCCTGTTTGACATATAAATCTCTTCACAACCTGGTCCCTTTTTACCTTTCCAGTCTTTGTATACATTACTACCTTCGATGCACTCTGTGATCTAGCCATTCCAGCCTACTTGCTGTCTCCAAGTCTTTACATGGGCTTTAGAGGTCTGAAAAGCTTTTTTTCCCTTCTAAATTCTGCCTTTCATAATCCCAAATACTTTCCAGCCTCAGTTCACATGAAGCCTTTCTGAGTTTACTCCCTATCAAAATGACCTTGTATCCATTTTGTATATACTCTGTATATTCTTACATGTATGTTGCCTCCCTGGTTTGAAGGTAAGCCCCTTGAGGACAGGAGCTGTTGTTTCACTTTTGTTTCTATGTCCCACACATAACAATTGCTTAATAAATTTTCATTGATTGGTGGAGAGAGAAGCTCTGCTTTGGTTGGAAAGTGTCTGTTGTGTCAAAACAAAAAGTATCATTTTTTAATAAATAGATTGCACTCAGGAATCTAGGCAAAGCTATCGTGTATTAGGGGCACTCCATACTAACTGGACAAAGCTATATATTGTTAAGTATGCTACAGATCTCTAAATGCTTATCTATACATAGTGGGTAAGCTTATAACATGTTCCCTGTACTCAGGTGGCGGCAACAAAGGTAATGACAGTATTATCATACGCTGCATTTTCCAATATTAGTTATTCAGTTTCTTGGAATTTATGATTACATATTACACTGGGGGCAACTGGCCTTTCAGAGAAATGTCTCTTCAGAATTTTTTCCTTTAAGGGAAAAAAAAACCAAAAAACTACTATCCTGTGATAAGAATTGACAGAGATTTCTTTGTATGGGACAAGGTCGGCAGTTTTATTCTTTAGCAAGAGCTTTTTGTCCATTCCTTATGAGTTTTTTTCCACACAGGCACTTAATTGATAACAGAAATGTTTTTCTCTCCACTCTAGTCTTTATATTTACTCTTAGTTACAGAGCAAATTCTATTTTATGTCTACAGACTAAAAAGTTCTTTCAAGAGGGGGATCCTATTTCAATTGAACAGAAAAGAACATGGTTACAATTTGCAGTAATTCTGGGAAGTGGACAGTAAAAGTTACTTATAAGTACACTGTGATGTAACCAGCTCTAAATATATGTAAATAATCAACCATATGTATTTTCACAGCTGCCTCCTCATATGACAAGCTGTCAATGATGGGAATACCTATTGGTGTAAGGCTCCCCACCAAGTCTAGGGGCAACAGTAATTGCCATGCTGGGGGGCCTACAAAGAATGATCTTCGTTACCCTACCTGTCATTTAATGATGATACTTTACTTTGTTTTGAGAAAGGTAATCTCTAACTAGATTGCAAACTTGCTTTGTCTCAGAAACTGGCACTAGGACTGATACTATATAATCACTGAGAACTGTACTCATTGAAAATGCTTCTAGAAATGCTTCTGGTAACAAACAGATGAAGATAACACAGTCAATCCTGGCTTACTAAACTACACTACCCTTCTTCCTACCTTAGCTCACCTCCTACCCCTAAGACTATGAAACTCAGTTGGGGCTTTTAAAAAAAAGTTCTGAGGTCCTTGGATGTCTCATCATTCAATCTACCTCCATATATTGTGTCTGTGTATATACATATATATATATATATATATATATCTTATTAGAATGTGCACTCCTTAACTCCTTGTGATTTTCCCAGAGATTAGCCCAGCATCTGACATAGTGAATGTTTAATAAATGTAACTGATAATATAAAAAAATTCCATTTCTATCTGCATCTCCCACCATCACCAGCAAAAAGATCTACCACTTGCAGACAAACCTTTGAGATGACCTTTATGTAACTTTTGCCCTTGACGTTAATTTTAACAATAAGTTGAAGAGGTAGGGAAGCAACATATGATAAATAGACTAAAAACTCCTTTTCTTATCTCTCACATTTCATAGTATTGCATAGGTCCAATATATCTGTGAAATTAATCTGAATTCAAGCAGTGCTCCTCAGGAACATCCTTTAGTAATAGCTGTGTGCCCCTGTTAACTCTACAAGTTGCAGAAGAGTTGTCCATCAGCATTCAAGAAGCGAGTTTCCTCACTGGAATACTATGAAATCTCAAATTTCAAATTCCCTCCCCTTCAAAAAGGGTGAAAAGGAAATTTTCTCTCTGGCTGCTGAAATTTAGATAAAAATGTGGGGAGGGGCAGCTAGGTGGCGCAGTGGATAGAGCACCGGCCCTGAAGTCAGGAGGACCTGAGTTCACCTCAGACCAAACACTTGACACGTACTAGCTGTGTGACCCTGGGCAAGTCACTTAACCCTAAGTGCCTAAGCAAAAAAAAAAAAAAAAAAAAAAAAAAAGCATGGGGAATTTAAAAACTTAAATTTGAATAAAACTGAGTAAACAATTTTACAAGATTTAAATATTTTTGAATATTGAATTTTAAACTGTGTTCTCATCTGTAAAATGAGGGATGGATTCCTGGGCTTTTAAGATCCCTTCCAACTTCACTTCTAGAAGCCTAGGAAAACAAAAACCATCTCCAGCCCCAGGCAGGTGGAGTCGGGAAACAGGTGGGGCACGCGACGCCCCTCCCCCACGCGGAGCGAGGGCGGGGGTGGGTGGGTGGGGTGACCTGACCGGTTACCGGATAGGTACGGAAGGCGGGGGAAGAGCGGACTGCGGCTGCGCCGCGCCCTTCCCCCTCTTTCCCCCAACCCCTCCTCCTCTCGGTTGGGGAAGGGCGTGGCCGTTACCATTATCGAGCACACTTCCCCCACTGCCTCGTTAGCGCCAAAGAGGAGCCTTCCTCGCCTTTCTCCCTAGGGCTGACCCCTGCGCCCTGCTCACCTGTCCATAGGAAAACGCGACAGTGAGGGGTTACGGTCTGCCGGGACCAGCTTCTCTTCACAGAAGGTGGGACACGAAGGAAGAAGACGATTGGAGAGAAGGGGAAGACGCTCAACCAATCAGAGGAGCCAAGGCAAGGGGCATACGTGATCGAGAAGCGGATCTTGCGCTGTGCGATCTGCGACTTTTCCTCTTTCCTCGCGGGGGGGGGGGGGGGCTTTCTGTTTCCTGTTTCTGTTGGGGCGAGTTCCTTTCTGTTACTTCCGGACAGTGTCAAGTCACCCAGGAAAAGGAATCTCTCTTTTATTTGGCCCTAGATCCCAGATTCACGTAAGTTGAACTTAATAAAGTCAGCTTCCCGTGAGTTGAAGTCTTGTTCACCAGCCTCCAGTTCACTTGGCAAGTCACGACATCACCTTAAAGATGCCATGGTCCTCTTCCAGAACGAAGGACAAACAAGATTCACCAGGAAAGGGGAAGCTCCCTGAGGGCAGGGCCTGCATTTTTGTTCCTGATTTGGTGCCTGGCGCATGCGAGATGCTTAACTAAATATTTGTTGGACACCTTGATAGAAATCTGGATTGCAACCTCATGAAGGGAAAAGGTGCCTCTTCCATTAGAAATTGGTTGGGAAACATTTTATCCCAAATTATTCTTTCTGTGGAAAGAGAAAATGTTTATGAACATTTCTCATCATCTGAAAGGTCAGGCAAAGATGGGCACAAAATTAGAATTTCCCTTTGGGGAAAATATTTGTTTGATTGCATCTCATTATTGGATCCTCGTAGTCAAGAGTTCTTAACCTGGGGTTCGTGAACTCAGAAAAAACATTGTATAACTTATAATATAACTGGTTTCTTTTGTAATCCTACAACTAAAAGATTGAAAATTAGAGATCAACAAGCATTTATTAAGTGCCACCATATGCCAAACACTGGGGATATAAAGAAAGGCAAAAAAAACCCAACAAAAAACAGTTCTTACTTTAAAGGAACTCATAGTCTAATGGGGGATAATTGAAAGGGAAATCTTATAGAAGAGATAGGATGGCATGGGATCAAGGGTCCATGTAGAGGGCTTTGGCCTTGATGGGTTGCTAATGATGGAACCCTAAAAGGTCCTGGACTCTTAGACTGCAACAACTTTGGCAAGGAGAAGGTCAAAAAGAAGGCACCTTCATTATCAGAGACTAGGGGAAGGGAGGAGAGTATGGCAAATGATGTCAAGGGGTTTTGAGATGAAGAGAGGGAGAGAAGTGGGGAACTCATGGCGAAATGGCATCAATTTTCTAAGTAAAAGACAAGGTCCTCAAATGAGAGAAGGGAATGAGGGAAGTGTGGAAGGCTTAAGGAGGCAATGGAAGATCTGAAATAGCTTTTCTGGGGAGTGAGATAGGAAATCAATTAGGGAGGAAGAAGAAGATCGCCATGCTGCAGTGAGGGAGATAACATAAAATTATAGTATACCCAGTCATTGAGGTAGTGAGTTCCTTAATACTAGATTAGTGATAGGATCTTGGATCTATGATTATATATTGATATAAGAAACTCCCAGATGAGGAGCACCTGTAGCAATGTAGGTCAGCACTATCTCAGTACTGTATTGTCTTAGAGAATTGCATAGAACACCTAGAAGTTAAATGATTTGTCCAGGGTCACAATGTGTCAGAAGCAGCACTTGAATCAAAATGTGCTTGGGTGCAAGCTCTATCCACTACAACAAGCTACCTTCAACCTACCCATGTATTTTGAATATTGCAGTAGTTGTCAAATTCTTTCAGTTCTTTAAAACACAGTTTTTATAAAAAAAAAATCAAGTCCTTACTTTGTACCTTGTTAATTCAGCTCTAAATCTTTTGGAAATAACATTATAGCCAGCCTTGTGACTACATACAGGCCTCAATATTTATTGAATGAATGAGTACATAATCCTATGAACTTGCCACCCTACCCCCTTCCAAAAAGTGTTCTAATTGGATGAAAATGAAGTTGGTTCTAGTGATTTTATGTTGTTGGAAGGAATTCTGGACAAAGGTCAGTTGCCACTCTCTGTGCCCCTCTCATACCGTTAAATGAAACTTCAGAGACGGTCTGCCTGATCCTAGGGCCACATATGATGAGGAGTATGATGGCAGCTGAAAGAAATTTACCTAAATAGGTAGACCTGGAGAGTTTTGACTCAGGAGGAACTGCAGTAATCTAAAATATATTTTGGACCTGAGAGGGTCTTGCTGTGCTAGCTTAGTATAGACTATGAGTCTGACTCACAAAAGAAGTCAAATAGCACAGAAACTATGAGATAATTCACAAAATAGTTTTAACCATTTCCCCTGTGGCACCTGGCAGTGGAGAAGTAGCAGATGGCAGTAGTATAGTGGAGAAGCAACAGATTATACAGCAGGCCCTGTGTAATAGAACAGCCCAGTAGATGACATCAGCAGATGACATCATCAGCTCTTTGGGGAAGCAACAGTTGGAAGTTTTAGAGGTCTAGGGCATAATTGTAGGATCCTGATGGTCAGACTACTTGTGTTCTCTCTCCCATCAGTGGTGTGGGAATCTGTGACAGAGTGTGTCTATTGTATATGGGGAGTTTTCCTCATTATTTTCCAAAGGTATTTAATGGCTTTGTTTTGAGTCAATGTGTCTTCTTAAAAGAGGGAAGTATCAGGCAGCCTGTTTGCTATGAAAGTGAATGGATACTGACCTAAAGTTTACCTTAAATGTAGGTGTAACTGGGAGAGAAGGTAGGGAGGGCTATATACTACAACAGACTGACTTTTTTTTTAGGTCATAAAAAGTGACATTTAGAAATCTTACCAAGCATTTACCCTTATTTCTACCACCCTACTTTCCCTTTTTCCTAACACTGAGTCATTAAGGTAAAACTCTAAAGTTCCAAAGATTTAACTGGACAATATACTGATAATAAAGCTGTAAAGAAACAGGGGTGTGTGTGTGTGTGTATGTGTGTGTGTGTTTCTCTGTCTCTTCTTCTTAGCAAGGGATAGGATAAGAGTGAACAGAAGATATTTGGCTGAACTGAAGAGATGGCACCTGACAAAGCTAGATGAGAAATACAGGGGTGAACTGGAGGAAAATGAGGTTTGAAACCTTTCAAACTCATTCTGATATTTTAATTCAGGCATCAATTTGCTGTAGCATATGGATTGTTGCTATGGTCCTTAGCAAGAGTAGTTTGTATTTGTTTTTATATTTGTTACTTTCCAGTCAATTTGTATTTGTTACTTTCCAGCTTCCAATCCAACCAATCCAATCAAATAAACATTTATTAAGTTCCTTCTCTGTATAAGGCACTCTGCTAGGCACTAGAGATAATTCTTGGAAAATGGGAACTACGGTGCTCTTACAGAGCTTTTGCTGACCATGTACTGTCAGGATGCAATATGTAAACAGGTAAAAATATACATAATTGGAGGAAGAGGGAGAAGATACTAATAACTAGGAGGTTCAATAAAGGCTTCTGAACATCAACTGAGCCTTGAAGGAAACCAGGGATTCCAAGAGGTGAGAATGAGGAAGGAGTGCATTCTGGGTAGAGGAGACAGGCAATGCTAAAAAATAGAGATGGCAGATAAAATGCCAGTTTTGGGAAAAGGCACACTTAGTTCAGTTTGTCTGAAACGTAGACTGTGAACAGGACTAATGAGCCTTAAACCTGGGAAAGTAGCCTTGAATCCAGATATGAAGAAGGGCTTTATATTGCTAGGTGAGGTGTTTATAGGTTATCCTGGAAGCAGTAGGGGCTATCTCAAGACTCTGGAGCAGGCCAAGGATACTGCCAGACTTGTTTTTTAAGGAAGGTTATTTTGGCAGCTGTGTGCAAGATGGATGGGGATTTGGAGGGGGGGACCAGGGAGGAGAGGTATCTGGGAATCCAGTCAGGAGGCTGCTTTAATAGTACAGGTAAGACAGGAGTCTGATCTAGAGAGGAAGGGAACATTGTAGAGATAGAAGCAGTAAGTCTTTTTTTTTTTTTTTTTTTGCTTAGGCAGTTGGGGTTAAGTGACTTGCCCAGGGTCACACAGCTAGTAAGTGTCAAGTGTTTGGTCAGAGGCTGGATTTGAACTCAGGTCCTCCTGACTTAAGGACCGGTGCTCTATCCACTGCACCACATAACTGCCCCGAATCAGTAAGTCTTGACAACTGATTGGAAATGGAAGGTTCAACAGAAAGAGAAGAGTCAAGGGTGGCTCAGAGGTGGTAATCCTCAGTGACTGGAGGGATGGTGGTGCCTTCCTTTATGAACCTCTGCTCCACCTCATGTCTTCCTCGGGCACCTGTTGCCCTTGTGTTTTTCCTTCCACGTCCAAGTGGTTAAAATGATTGAATTGTTGTTCAACTGATTATTTACCATCTGCCTGGCAGACTACTTAGTGCAAAGCTTTGCAATATAAATACTCAATAATTATTGAAATGAAAATTTCTCAAGGGGTATTTACATTTTTGTCAACAACATATATATTGTTGCATGAAATACCATTTATTCTTATGGTATAGTTTGACTTTAAATTATATAAATTTGTGATTAAAAAATATTGTTGTGTCAATATCGTACAGCAGAGGGCACCATTATGCTCACTTTTTAAAAAAAGGACTTTGAGAACTTGCAACTTGAAATAGAACTTAAAAGCAGACTTTTTCCATTTTGATTTCATTAGCATAGACTATGCACTATGAATAAATCACTATTTACGCAATAAGACAACTTTTTTGCTATTTAAAATATGAAATAGCAAAATGCATTTCTGAAATGAATTCTCATAAATTAGGAGGGGGATTGCTAAGAGAATTATGGGAAAATGGGCTTGTATTAGGACCTAGAGAAGTCCAGATTCCCCAAAACATCCTCAATAAAACTCTAAAACTGCAGTCCTAACACCCTAGAAGAAGAAAGGCCAGTGCACAGGGCAGCCTCAGACCCCTAGGTGCAGCAAAACAAAGGTTTGGAGCATCATCTAGGTGTACAGGGGTGGGGAACCTGTAGTCTTGAGACCACATGTTGCTCTCTAGGTCCTCAAGTGTGGCCCTTTGACTGAATCCAAATTTCATGGAACAAATCCCCTTAATAAAAGGATTTGTTCTGTAAAACTTGGACTCAGACAAAAGGCCTTACCCAAGGACCTAGAAGGCCCACATGTGGCCTCGAGGCTGCAGGTTCCGCATCCCTGAAGCCAGCTTCCAGGAGCCTAGATC